TCACCTGAGGATATTGTTTCCTTTGATTTTTTTAGAGAGAGAGAGAAAAGGAAGGAGGGAGGAGAAGAGAGAGAAATATCAATGTGAGAGAGACATATGAATTGGTTGCCTCCCAAACCAAAGATCAAATGTGCAACCCAGATATGTGCCCTTGACTGGGAATCGAACCCAGACCCTTCCATCCTCAGGTTGATGCTCTATCCATGGAGAAACAGGCTATTGTTTTGTTTTTAATTTATGTCTTTGAATCATGCTTTTTGTAAAGTGACTTTTATCTCTCAGGAAATACCACGTTTGATCTCTACATAAATAACAACAAGCAAACCACAAGTTAAGGCAACGTTCCCCCCTCTTTTTTTCTAGCTTTGCTAATGAAGAGAATTTGTTTTGAAGTGGAATATGCCTTGTTTCCAAGTCCTGTTAAATGTTTAAAGACTTGCTGGCAGTTGGAGTTTCCATAATGTAATCTAAGCAATCATTTCCTGGGAAGGTTCCACGCTTGCTGAGTCATTCCTTTAGCTACCAGTTTAAAAAACAAAGTCAGTCTCTGCAAAGCAGGATGCACTGTCTCAGGAAGTAGGTGCCCAGCGCTTGTAGTTTTCACTTTGGCAGTCATTTCAGATGAAACACTGTTAGCATAAGGAGGCTGCAGTTCCTTCACAAGACCTCAGGCTTTTAACCAAATTTTAATCTCTATAATCTTTATCCTGTTTAATCTCCAATTCTACCTTTAAACTCGGTTCATATAGATTTGCGGTGGAGTGCGGGAAACGTGTAAACTCGGGCCGATTGTAACTGCGTATTACCAAATATTTCATTTCAATCGAACCCATACTTCAAAAGATATAGGCATTTTAACGCGCCATCTTATATTTTGGCGGGAAATTCACCCGACACCGTAGTGTTAAATGTCAGCTTTCCTCACTTTTCTGTTCTCATATTCTCTCACACCCTTGATATGATTCCTCTTGCATTGAGAACACAAAAGACAGGGTTATATTTTTTATCCTCTATAATTTGCTAAATCAAATCATTTACATACAGCCACCCCAATGCCGTATGTTATGATAATGTCAGTTCTCACAAAAGTTCCACACACACACCTGTAATTTGATCCAAATTCCTCAACTCAGAAAAAGAGCAATTTGTAGGACCCATGACTAATGTAAAAATGAAAATTTTTGGAAGCATATCCTCTTGTATGCTTACTATAACGATGGAGAAGGGCATTTTAAGTTTATTCTGCAAGTTCTGATCCAGTTTTGCTCTGAACATAATAATGAAGTAGCATAAAACAAAACGTAGTTGTTTCCTTTCCAAAGCATTTTAACTTTCCTCCCTATTCCTGTAACAACAACAACAAAAACAAACAAACAAAAAACAATCATCCTATACATATCCCAGGTTCACACAGAGCCAAAGTGGAACAGCAAGTAACAGTGAAAATCAATTTAATTAACTTAGTAAATCTAATAAAACCTTTACTAGTGTTGATGAGAAATGAAGATTTTTTTTATTACCAGAGTCTACTTTAAATAAATGTCTTACTTAAAATTCTAAAGTACTGTACACATTATAATGAAGTATACACATCAGTAAAATGAAGTGAATGAAGAAATAACGCACTTTGTATAATAATGCATTACATTTCTTTAAAAAGCCCTGGAATGGAGACTCTGGACACTGGCTTTGCTTTTAGCTCTGCTGGATCCCCAACTGCACCTTTTCCAGGACTTGTTTCAGGAAAATGGGCCTTTGGAAACTGAGGAATATATTTTCACACAAACGAAGCTTTCTACCACATCTCATCTTCATGTGGGGGCCTCCAGGAATCCTTATTCCAGTGGCACCCCAAGAACCCCACTCCCACTAGCAATGGAGAAAATCCTTAGAAATGTTTGGTTTGTGTTTCCATCATTGGAACTATTTAAAGAGATAATTGCTGATGACAGAAATGGTGGGTTTTCAACATTTATATAAATAATGATAAATATACATCATAGAACAATAGCCTGATTCCATAGGGTTTTGTCTTTGTTTGTTTTACAATTTGTTATATATCGATGATGGCCCTGTTTTACATTTTGATTGAAGAATGGATAATTTCTCATAAGCATTCACAAAATCATCAGATAGTGGCACAGTGTTCTGTTTTGTGTTCGCTTCTTAGATTTGCCTCATAATAGGGAAAAGCACATGTAAATGAATGCGTGCACACTCCCAAAACATAGAATTTAATTCTGCAAACAAAACTTCAGAAGGCTTCATCACTCTTCCTTTCCCCAAAGTGTTTATCTAATAAATTAAACTACTCGATCTCCTTCCAGCAATAAATTAGCTCCCACATGAGAAGTCACCATCCAGCACCCTGTCTCAATATTTTAAAATTCTACTTTATCCTATGGAAATATAGGCCACACTGAAAATGACTAATTATGTTTGGAACTATGAAAATTTTTAATGATAGTATTTCTGGTCATGTTGCTAGCTAATTGTAATTTTAAGATGTCATGAACGACAGGAGGGCACTCTTTATTAATGCTAGTAAAATCTTAAATTGCTATTAAATCTTAAATGCTAGTAAAGTCTTAATTTCTGACACTAAATTATGCAGTTTAGGTTCTTCTGGGCCAGGGACACATGTGGCCGTGTGAATCTCATCATTGCCTGAACGTGTGTGCAGTACAGTGTCTGGGCACAAAGGGACAGCCAGTTTCTTTTCCCTAAACTCACGTAATGTTTTAGAATTCCGGTTCTTATAGTTTATGGCAGTGTTTATATGAATGTTACTATGTTGCATGAGAAGAAAACTGTCAGCTTAAACATACTGCCTCTTACTCTTCTAAATGAATTTGCCCCATGGTATAGTAAATAGTCTTATGTCGATCTGGCTCTGCTAAAAGCCTAGAGTTAGGTATCTTAAATTAAGGAAAATAACTGAAGAGTGATGTTGTCAAGTTTTCATATGACTTTCCAAATCTGAGAACATTTTAAGTCTGCTGAGAAAGTGTGACATCAGGTCAGCTTTTATTCTGAGTGTTGAAACTTTCCAACTATGGAAAAACATCACTTTTCATTTTAGTCTGTGCCTAAAACTGGCCTGTTGGCTACAGTTCCTCAAGAAGGACACATGAAACAGGGACCTAACCCCATGGACTTAATTATTTTTCAATCCCTAAGATATTTCTTCAGTATGTTCATGATTCTGGTTTGGCAGGCCTTGGCCCATCTTTATAAGCTCCCCAGATGTCTCTGCAGGAGCTGAGCCTTTCCAGAGTGATTATATTTTATAGTTTTCTTTTATGGAATTGTAATTCTAACTGTAACTGTAGACATAATAATCCTAACTAGAACCTCATATCAAAAAGTTTTTATTGCAGCTAGTGAATTTCCAAATCAAAATTTCCCCATTTGGTAATAAGTAGAATTAACCTTTTAGTGCAGACAGGGATAGAAATGGTTGGAAATTATATATAAATACTAGAGGCCCAGTGTATGAAATTGGTGCATGGGGTGTCCCTCAGCCCAGCCTGCACCCTTTCCAATCTGGGACCCCTTGGGGGATCTCTTTTGCAATCCAGGACCACTGGCTCCTAACCTCTCACCTGCCTGCCTGCCTAATGCCCCCAACTGCCCTCCCCTGCTGGCCTGGTCACCCCCAACTGCCCTCCCTGCAGGCCTGGTTGCCCCCAACTGCCCTCCCCTGCAGGCCAGTTCGCCTCCAGCTGCCCTCCCCTGCCAGCCTGATCTCTCTCCTAACTGCTCTCCCCTGCCAGCCTGATCTCGCCCTTAACTACCTCTGCCTCGGCCCTCACCACCATGGCTTTGTCCAGAAGGAAGTGGGATGTCCGGAAGATAGCCAGTTGACCCGGTCTAATTAGCATATTACCCCTTTATTAGTATAGATGATTTTTTTCATCTTGTCAGAATCACTCCAAATTAGAAATTAACTGAGTAAGATGATAATACATATAATTGTGGCTTTACTATTTACTAGCATTTGACACAAAATAATTTATTTAAACTTTATGAGTTATGATGCCTCAACTGTAGATAATATAGCCTATCTGATCTTATAAGGCACCTAACACAATAATTACTCAGAATAGAAGCTTAATGAGTGAGATAATTATAAGCATAATTATAATGAGTATTAAAAATAATTTAATTTCTCTTTTCTTTTGATGATTTCCAAATACATTTATTCTGATGATTCCCAAGTATGTTTCCATGATGTCAAGAGGTACCATGAAATTGTCCAAAACACTGAAAACAGTTAATTTTAATTTGTTTAATTTTTGAAACATATGCCTTGGGTTGATTAATTCCAAAATGAGAGACAAGAGTGTACAGAGATATAATTGTAACCAGAACACCAATATTTGTGTGTCTTGTATAGTCCACCAGTTTCTGTTTTCCAATTATAAAAAAAGATAGTATAAACGTCATCCTTTATTTTCATATGGTTTGATCATTTTAAATCATATTTTTTCCTCTGAGTGAATCCAAAGAAATTGTAGGTGTTTTTCAGATAAAGTACTATGTATGGTAGACCTGACGGGATTTACTTTTCATTTTCTATCTTCGTGAACTGCTTATATTTTCTAACCATGTGCATGGAATACTATAGAAAATGTCAGTGAAGTAATTTGCACAATGGGGTTAAGGACCATTTTTTTTCCAACTCTATATTCCTGTCTTAAAGTTATTATATTACTTTTAGAAGCCCAAAATTTTTGTAAGTTCTAGAAATCAGGTTCAAATATTCCGATTTCCACTTCTCTTCATTTCAAACTATAAAAACAAGGTAATTCAAATAAGAAATAAAGGGTTGATAAATACATGCATGAACAGAAACAGTTTTGCCTTATATAGCTCATATTCTTAAGGATCAAGCCACTAAACACAATAGTAAAACAAAATGTGTTTAAAATGCAGAAAGATACCAATCAAGTACTCTCTTACATTTTAATGTTCTTTATTGCTTTTCAAACCTATAGCAAAAGTCACCATCAGAATCATTTATTGGTCGAGAGAAGAGGTCGAATTCTCAGTCATACATCGGACGCCCCATTCAGCTCGACAAGATCTTGATGTCGAAAGTGAAGGTGCCCCACACGTTTGTCATCCACTCGTACACGCGGCCCACCGTGTGCCAGTACTGCAAGAAGCTCCTCAAGGGACTCTTCAGGCAGGGCCTGCAGTGCAAAGGTAGGGAGGCTCCTGCCGCCAGCGTCTTCACCAGCCAAAAAAGATCCTTAGCCCTCATCCATATGAAATTACTTTTCTTTGTTTTACAACTCACTTTCTGATGAATTCTTGGTTTTTGTTTTCTTTTAAAATCATTGTGGTTAGATTGCAGATTCAACTGTCATAAACGCTGTGCACCTAAAGTACCCAACAACTGCCTGGGCGAAGTGAGCATCAATGGAGGTGGGTACAAACCAGCCGTCTGTCTCAGAGGCTGTCAGCTAGCGGGATTTTTTCTTTTTACTGTTTGTTTGTTTGTTTGTTTTTCCGTTCAGATACTTGTCACCCAGCTAAAAGTAAATTATGGCCTCAGTTTGTCCTACTGCACTGTAGAAAATCACCCATCCCAGCACATCAGGTTTTGATAAAAACCAAAGAGATTATCTCTGTTTTTACACGGGGAACAGCCAGTACTGAAAATTTGGATTCCAGAATTTCTTCTCCAGTTGTCCCTTTTAATACACCTCTCCCAGTTTGTTTGGAAATGTAGAAAGTGTTGGAATGTTGGAATACCTACAAGTTATAACTGTGTGTCTCTTTCCCCCATCCTCATTCCAAGCCCTGAGACCAAGGATTACTTTTCATTCCTGTTGGTCAAGGGAGGGAAGATACAGAGACTGTCCCATCAGGAAGTAATCTCCCTCTTCCTCCACCCAGCTACTCTCATTACACATGTGCCATTAACCTGAAACTTTAATAATAAAAGGAACTTTAATTATTAAAAATACATATCATTTTCTACGTTTTGGAAGTATTCCTTTGGGAAAACTCTAGCTACATAAATTAATTTTGAAAGATTCTTTAAGAAAAATGCCATGTCTTAAAGGAACAGCTCCCATTTCATTTCCAAGTAGTATTCTTCATGAATTCTTAGCAAAGTATTTGACTCTCTATCTGTCCCAGGCTAACATTTTCCACGGATAGTGGACTGCTATCTACCTTCAGTCTCATATCAGTTTTCTGATTCCTCTGGAAACAAGAATTGTGATACAAGACCAAAGAGACAAGTTGATATTTATTTACTTATTTATGTATTTATGTATTTATTTATTTATTTTGCTAAAACACTGAAGAACAAGATTATAACTTTCTTCTCTAGAAGAAACACCTATTAGAAGAAGGGAATTCTCTCCAGGCAAACATTCCCTGATTAGTTTGTGCCTTGGAGATTTGTGCATGAATTAACTGCCAAAATGGAAAACTTGGCCATTTTCCCACTTCCTGTGACATGTGGTATGGACTTTGTTCCGACCCAGAAAATGTCAATATACTCTTGATAACTACAACTAAAGGGGGAAAGTGCCATTTTTGACATAGTTAATTTCTTTGAAATTGCATTTTCCCAAACAGTCAGATAAATCTGGTAAAATGTGAATTTTCCAAGCTTGGCAGGCTAGAGTCTCTGATCAGTTTATTTTCTAATTTTAAAATAAGTACTCTGTATCAGTAAATGGTTATAATTTATTTCATTACTATCAACTTGGTAATTCAATATAACTTCAAATATTCAATATCTTTGGTATTTAAAAAATGCTTCTTATGTGACCAATTTTATATATTGGAATTTATGACTTAAAAAGAATCAATGACCCTGAGAAGTTTTGCATGTGAAAGTTTCCCTCATCTACCCAAATATCTTTTTCTTCCCACCAGGGCTGAGAAATTTCTACTTCACTTTTGCCTGGTATCATTTTGCTTCTGAGCACTTCGCCTCTATCCCACCCTTGCCTTTCTTCTATGGCTCTCTGTGACTTTTCATGTTTTTTAGGCATAACAAACAAGCATCGGTTTGTAAATTATCTATTCATCCTCTCATAAATTCAGATTCTTATGAACAAATTTTTTTTAAACAGGAAAGATAAATTCTTCAAATAACTACTCTTTTAGGGCTTCTGGTTGATTCCTTTTCGAATTGCCTTTGTCTTAAGCCCTGGCTCCAGGATTTCAGGCTAATCTTCACAGGTGTAAACAATTTTTTTAGATTTGCTCAGCCCTGGGGCAGAGTCTGATGTGGTCATGGAAGAAGGGAGTGACGACAATGACAGTGAGAGGAACAGTGGGCTCATGGACGACATGGAAGAAGCAATGGTCCAGGATGCTGCAATGGTGATGGCAGAGTGCCAGAACGACAGTGGGGAAATGCAGGACCCGGACCCAGACCCAGAGGACTCCAACAGAACCATCAGGTGAGGGCTGCACTCGCAGCCTCGGTCCAACAGTGGACCTCCAGCTGACATTTTAATCTACAAAAGAAAGTTCTAGTGTGTGCTTAATTTGCTCATGAATGAGCTGTGTTCTGCAGAGGATAGAGAGCCTTTGGAGTTAGGAGGTCAGGATCCCTTGGAGAAGTGTAGTTTGCATCCTTTTCTAGCATTGCCTCAGTCTTTGACCCACTTTTTAAATTTATTTTTATTTTTTGCATGTGAGGGATTCTCATATTTGCCATCTACAACTTTACTACTAAATTGTTTATGCAAAGCTTATTGTGTAGAAACACAAAGATTGGGGGTGCATCTCAGCCGATAGCATTTATTTTATAGCTGGCCCCTATTACAAATATCACATATGTCTACACTGTATTTTCAGAAGTATGTGAAATTTTACAGTTGTGATCTAGCCATCGATACGTTTTAAATTACTATCTGATCTCCATTTTTTTACATCTGGGGTCAGCACACTCTGGGCAAATCAGGATGCTGCCCGTTTTATAATAGTTGTATCAGAACATGATCATGTCCATTCATAATGTCTGTGGGCACATGTGCTCTTCAATTGGCAGAGTTTAGTATTTTGCAAAGCCTAAAATATTTGTTACCTTGTCCTTTACAGAAAATTTCCCAATCTCTAATTTATAAGTGTTTTCAAACTTGTGTGTCCATTTATAAATGCCATATGCATTGCCAAACTGAAATTGTTCATCAGATTAAAGCAATCAAATAATGACATTTTTTCCATTTAATAGAGTAAAGCCTATTTCTAAAATATTGGAAAATATTAGTTTTATGGCCCACCTATCTTTTGAAGGTGTACATTTCTTTAGTATCAAAGGAGGCTACAAGGTGTTGTGCTTGCATGGATGCATGTGGGAGTGAGAAGGGAAGAGGACACAGAGACAGAAAAAAAGAGAAAGAGATAAAAGGTTGGCATAATTCCATGGGGAATGGTTATTTATAAAACAGTTTAAACAGCTTTTAATTTTTATGAAACTTTTCAGAGACTCAAATTTAGTGAAATGCTGCTATCTATAAATGATCAATATTTTGCCTGTAATCGATATATATAAAAGCCTAAGTGACCAAACGACTGAATGACCGAATGACCGGTCGACTGGTCGCTATGATGCACACTGACCACCAGGGGCAGACGCTCAATGCAGGAGCTGGTCCCTGGTGGTCATTGTGCTCCCACAGCCAACCTCCTGTGGCCGGCCAACCTCCCGTGGTCCCTCCCCCCATTAGACGGCCTCAATCGGCCCCGATCACCAGCCAGGCTGAGGGACCCCACCCATGCATGAATTCGTGCACTGAAGCTCTAGTATGTAATAAGTGAGCAAATAAGCTGTCGTGAATACTGTGGCCTTAAGACACTAAGACAGTAATCTACCTGTTATTTACCCAAAACTGAACACCATAGAGGTTAGCCTGGAGATGAAGGCACTTACTATTGTGCCTTGGGATTTTTCGAGTGTACCTGTGATGTGCCTATCATTCTTCAGAGTAATCCAGAAGCTGAGCCATGGTACTCTGACAATACATTTCACTAAAAACGGGGTGTGAAATTTTTCTTACTTTCACTTTGAAATAGCTGAAATAAGATTTTATACAGGAAAAAAAGATTTCTTTCAAAAAGCATTTATTTCCTGAAATATTTTGACTTTTCAAGTCCATCAACAAGCAACAACATCCCGCTCATGAGAGTTGTGCAGTCTGTCAAACACACGAAGAGGAAAGGCAGCACAGTGATGAAGGAGGGGTGGATGGTTCACTACACCAGCAAGGACACACTGGTAAGGTGCCCGGTGGGCATTTTTCTCAGCTGTTGCTCACTTTAGGAGTCCCGAATGCCCGTGAAGACGTAGGATGTCTAAGTTACCAGGAGCACATTCCCTGCAGGCATGTCCTGGATCGGTGTAGCACTTTAGCAGTCTCTGGGTGTCAGAGGTAGCTGAGCAAGCAACTAAGTTAGAAAAGAGTGTAGACAGCAGTCTCAGGGAAACAAATCACTTACTTCCATTACTTGGGATAATCTTCAGACAACTTGAATGCCCACCTGCCATTTTATAGTAGAAATGAAAACGACAGTCTATGTTGTCAGAATGCTCCTCTGTGATTCGGAATTTTTTAAAAATAATACTGCATTTTAGGGAGAAAAAAACAACAATGATAACTATTATATTCTTATTAAATCCTTAAGTGTTCACTTAAAAACTGACTTTAGGACAGTATACTTTATTAGATAAAAGACAATACATTTTAAATTTTAATCTAAGCTGCTCACTACGCTAGACTTTCCTGATAGTTGTGAATGAGGTTGTACATGTGGGTAAGAGAGAAAAATTTAATCCATGTTTTAAAGTTAAATTGAAATGTGATGATAAGCTTTTTTCTCAGTTACCAGTAGTGTTTTCCTCGGTACTTCCTATCTGTAGTATTCCCATTATTTCATTAGATAAACACCTATAACCTAATTATTTATAATCTCAACTTTCTGTGCTGGAGAAAGATTTGCATGACTTAATGTAGGACTCAACTGAACATGATATAGCTTTTCCTAGACATGATGCCAAATATTTAAAGCATATTTTATATATTTGACTAGTCTAAATTGGTTGCAGAAGAGACCAAGAATAATGCTAGGACTTTTGGGTCTAAAAAGGTGAAAATACATACACACACACACACACACACACACACACACACACACACACACACCACCACCACCCCTAAAATGGAAGATGTACCTAGAATGAACAAGGACCCGATAACCAAATCATGTAAGTTTAGAGATCTATAGGGAGCTTGAGAGAAGGTAAACTGATTTGATACATTCCCCTGACTTTGATCCCCTGGAGTCAACCCTACTATCCAACAAAATAGTCTTCAGTTCTATTGTAACATTCAGAATTCTTCCATCTGTAATTGAAGCCAGAGTACCTGGCTGGATCAACATGGTATTCCTTATGTTCTAAAATAATGAGAATGTATGAACTTTGTATCTCCTGTTAAGCCTTTCTATTTTGTTACAGACTACAAGTCCACCTTTAGCTATTCAAGCAGTCAAATAAATTTTAAAAGGGTATTTTCTATTTACTATTATGCATGTACTAAATGCCCTGCCCTATTCTGGGTGAGAATAACACATCACCTCCTTTATTGCTTATAACTCTGATGTAGACATGCAAACTTTTCACACATTTGCTCAATAGTCACTTTCTGGAGTATGAAATTGTGTGTCTTTCATGCACTTTCCACCATAAAATCTTGTCCCCACTGGGAAATGTTTTTATTTTATCAATAGTAAATATTTTGAAAGTTTTTAAAAGATCCTGAATCTAACTTCTGTTTCAGCGGAAACGGCACTATTGGAGATTGGATAGCAAATGTATTACCCTCTTTCAAAACGATACTGGAAGCCGGTACTACAAGGTAAGTATGAATGGTTCTTTCCTTGATTGCAGTCCCACGCTCTCTATATGTAGAGTATCGGATATGCAAAATACATCCAACAAGCATGACTGTTTTTGTGCTTGGTCTAAGAGATAATTTTTCTTCTCTGTAACTTACAGTTTTGGAGGAGTCGGGTTGTGACCCCATAATAGCTGTTGGTGAATTTGACATTTCCTGGGGGAGTGCTTCTGGTCCCATGGGCTGATGGTGGGGAAGGAGAAGCTCATTGAGTATGTTAGCAGAGATGTGTGATTTGAACAGAAAAGTCAAGGTCACAGCAAATTAGCTAAAAGTAATTTCTGAAATCCACTACATCCAACTTTTTTTTTGCTGTTGCTTCTTCATTGTTTTCCTTCTACAGCCTGGCAGCATCACTGGAAGTAGTTAAGAAACCTTGCCTGATTTCTCCTTGCATTGTCAATATCCATAAGGAGCACTTTGCAAAAGTTTGGCAGCAGTTTTCATTCTGTCTCTCTACATGAAATAATACAGATGTGGAATAATGTATCACCCATTAAAACAAGGTTCCAAAAGAAATTCAGAGTGAAAACAGTTTATACTTGCTCTTTCAAATTTAATGCCGGCTCGGGCGTAGTTGAAGTGATTCTCCGTGGCCACTTTACACAGCTCTAATGGAAAAAGGCTATCTCATTAATTTTTCAATAAAAACATGTTTTAAAAATTATTATGTCTTAGTCACTACATACCTCCTGGAAGACAATGTGGTGATTTTTTTTTAATATTAAGATGGTCTTAAAAGCAACTGCTTTTAAAACCAATCACTGGTTTTTCTCATTAAAACTATTCACTTGGCTGTATTACTATATTAACATATATAAAGTCAAATTAAATGAATCATTTCCAGTACCTTAAAAAATAGTTAAAAATTAAAAACAGCCATTCATACCCAAATGCATTTCAAAAGTGTTGTCATTCTACCTCACTGTCATTTATATTCTATGTCTTAGATTTTGGGGCAGAATCAAAATCATTATTCTTATTGATACTCATACTTGCCACATGAACATAATGAAAAAGGCACTTGAATTTTTCTGGGAAAATGAGATGATTATATTTCCTCTAGCAAAGATATTTTTAAATTTTGCTTTGTGAAATTCAGTATTTCACGAAACCATTTTATGTAAATGATGGCCATTTGTAATGTCATTTCTTACACATTCCTGGCATGAATCTTATTTGAAAGTTTGCATACTTTTGGTAAACTATATCAGTGTACTCTTTCTTCCACAGGAAATTCCTTTATCAGAAATTTTATCTCTGGAACCAGCAAAACCTTCAGCTTTAATTCCTAATGGGGCCAACCCTCACTGTTTTGAGATCACTACAGCAAATGTAGTATATTACGTGGGAGAAAATGTGGTCAATCCTTCCAGCCCATCACCCAGTGGCAGTGTCCTCACCAGTGGCGTTGGTGCTGATGTGGCCAGGATGTGGGAGGTGGCGATCCAGCATGCCCTCATGCCCGTCATTCCCAAGGGCTCATCCGTAGGTTCCGGAACCAACTCTCACAGTGAGTCTGCTAGCTTCCTATCTGTAGAGCAGGTGTAGAGAGCCTTCTGAGGATGATTTAGTTTATTTGATAACAAATATACTAAGATATTACATTCATTAAATTATCTTATTTTTATTTTATATTAAATTTGAACAAATTCATGTAAACCCAAATATTAGGCAATAGCAGAGACCTAGAAGTATTCTTGAACCTGATCTGGAATGCCAGGCTTGCTATTTGAAAATCTGAGTTAACAGAAAACCACCAAGCAGGCTAGGCTACCATGTGTGTACATGGTGTGCAGAATACTGGTACTTCGAAACCCTTGATAATTTTATCCCAGGAAGAAATCTGTGTCATTAGTAGAATGAGATAGATTTTTATGAAAATGAGACCAGAATCAAATATTGAGGGTGAATTTTAAAAAATATTGCAGAAATCTATATAAAAGTGTAATTTAAAATTTCATCATTACTATCAATAATGAAGTCTGTGGGGAAGAACCTCTGGTTTTCACATCATAGTTTATTTTATGATATATCTCTTTTTCATTGATCTCTCCTACTAATGTACATATTAATAGAATGTGCATGCCTATTTTGGTGCTAAGCACTTACATAAGGTCTCTAATTTAATGCCTTAAAACAACCTGAACGGGTGGATATTAATGACTTGCCTGTTTTAGGTGAGGAAATCGGACCCTAGAGAGATTAAGTTAAGCTTGTACCAGAGCCACAAAGTGGCAAGCCAGTGCTCGAACTCGAGTCTGTATGAATCCACATTCTAAAATGAGAAAATATTATTTTTCAAAGTTGTATTGAGTAAATCTGTAATAGTAAAAAGAAATATTCTAATAGACATTTTTATAGAAAAATTTAATTGCTCTGATTTAAAAATACCCCTGCAGCTTGATTAGTAAGCATGTGTTTACTTGTTATGCTGTTACCTCTCTTACTTCTTTTGTGTATTTTTAACATGTATTTCCAGGAGATATTTCTCTGAGTATTTCAGTATCAAATTGCCAGATTCAAGAAAATGTGGTAAGTATATACTTAGTAATATAAAATGTGGTAATGTGATTTTTTTATTGGAAAATAAGGATATCATAAAATACGCTTTTTTATTTATCTAACAATTTAAAATTTTAGTAATTTTAAGAAAATTAAATAGTGTCTATTTGGGTACTTTTCTTCCATAAGATTTTAGAAACATTACATTAGATGGATTATTTTGGTGACTTTTCTGTAATTTATTCTGTAGTATTAAGAGCTAAATACCTATTATCTCAGGTAAGCAATTATAATGCAGTTTCTAATTTTTCACACATTTGTGTATCTTGGTACTGGAATTTTAATGAGTGATATTACACAATATGAAATAAGATAAAATAAATTTTTTGAGTTGCATGAATAGCTTAAACATGCCCTTATTCTCATTTCTTGATTGCTACACAGGACTGCTGTCATATAACAAGGAGTTGCAAATGCTGTTGCAGTCACTTGTACATATCAAGGAAACCTCAAAAAGCTGCATAAATTAGATTTTATGTGTCTACACTCTAGCATCTTTGTCACCCAGGGCACATAACTCCATCCTTTCAGCTGAGTTTTTGAATATTATAGGTCAAACATATTATGACAGAATTTACACTCTGCCATGTTTGCTTTATTTGTAATACTTTGTCCATATGGCAAGTAGCCCCAAAGTAATAAGGTCTTTCTCACCTCGTCTTGTGACTAAGACCTTTGGCTGTATTTTGCCTGCTATACCTGCCTGTGACCAAAAGCAAAGTTTGCAGAGTTACACTGATGTGAGTTTAATAAATTCCATGATACTCTATTACAGCTTACAATCTTTGCTAAATTGATATAAAGTAAACTGAAAACCAAAGATTAGAGAGAATTTGGAAAACTTCAGAGTGGAGGTTAGATGAATTTTTGTGCCGTTGATCACAAGATAGCTTATTAAAGGTCTGCAGGTTCCTTTTGCTCTTGCTTAGCCAGAGAAGACTGAGAAATATAGGTTAACTTATAAGCCTTTGGGAAATTCTAGAAACCTGTGGGGTTGTTCCATCCTGTTTGGCCATGATTGCCCACTGAAAATTCCTGGTGGGCCATGGAGCTATCAGAGAAAGATGTAGCTTGGACTCAGAATGCTGGAGTGGTACTAATCTACTTTCTTGTATCCAAACAACCTGAACTTACCCCCCATAGACACTGTGAAGGGATCATAGGATGTTGACAGCTTGTAGTTGTTTTCTATAGGGAAGGACATAAGAAAAGAATAGGAATGTATAGGATCTCAGGATTCGATGTAAAAAGACTTATTTTTGAAAGGTCAAAGAGAACGCGAGTAGAAGATAGGCAGAAAATTCCATAGGATGTAATAGGAATATATCCTATGTAAAGTGGCAAAGTATTGGGTTGTGCTTTCATAAGTGTGGTCATCAAATCACAGACTGTTCAACATAGATTAACACATAATGCTTTGGCAAGTATTATTTCAAAGAGAAACAGTGTAGACATTTGGAACTTATGGAAGTGGTAAACATGGAAGATTTTAGTTACCGCGCAGATGAGAATTTCTAGTGGCTGTCATCCATCTGTAGTGGCTGCTCTCTTGCAGTGAATTCAGCCGCCTCCTCTCAGTGTAGATTCACTGGGATGTGGTGGTTGATCAAGAAGCATTCTAGCCATAAAGAGTGGAGAGGTTGGAACCAGGACTCACACAGACCTATGATTATTAACCCAAACATCTAAATAACCATCTAACCATCTCAATAAGCAAATCCTGTTTTGAATACTGACAGTAAATGACATTGTATAGTCTTAAGTCTTATTTCTCTCTAATGAGACACACTTCATTGGACATTACTCTGCTACTTAAGAGCAGAATAGTTTTCAGAACATTACAGTCTTACATTAATTAAAGAATGTACTTTAAATATTATGGTCATATTACAGATTTTTATCTAGCATTTGTAATTTGTTTGAAATATTTAATGTTTATGAAACACTTAATAACATTATGTAATTTATTAGGACTCATGTTTTGTTCCACTTCATGTTTGTTTTTCTTTGGACTTGTACCTACAGGATATCAGCACAGTCTATCAGATTTTTCCTGACGAAGTACTGGGGTCAGGGCAGTTTGGAATTGTTTATGGAGGTAGGTTAGTTAGTTCACTAAGTATTTTTATTAATTTAAAATTTTAGCTACTTGTGTTTATAAGTTATATCTCCAAAAATATGAAAGATAAGACTTGTGTGTATATATGTTTGTATGTGTCTCTGATTTACCTTTTTAGACATTTTTCTTGAAATAATTACTATTTGGAAAATTGGAACATTTATGTTTTGAAAGAGTTTTTCACTCCTAAAAAACATATTTTGCTTAAATATGAACAAACTATATGAAATACTGGTTAAATATTGGCTTATTTAGACAAAATATTGAGAAACCAGGAAGTTGTAATTCATAAATAAATTACTTCCATTTTTTAAACATATTTCATCAGAACTCCATGAAAAACCAATCATGTAACTAGACACAAAAAAATCTTTTAATTCTAATACCTTTAACAATGTATGTATTTCATTAAGGTTTGCATTTTTTAAATTTTTGAAATGAAATACTGAATTTTTATCTTTTCTCTTATAGTCAATTGTATTTGGTGAACTTATTATTTTGACCACTGCTGTTTTAGATTCTAGCCAGTTGTATTATATTTGTCAAGTCTTTATAAAACATTTGATGTTAATGTGTTACCTGCCCTATAAAAGGACATCATAACTTTCAGTTCCTTAAATTAGTAACAAATTACTTTTTTGTGAGGTGCGTGTGCTCTGAAATAATTACATCTTACTCAGTATTACTTATAATAAATATAATATTGTGCTTTTTAGTTGAAAATTAATCAAGTTCTACTCTGTTTTACAAAGGAATTGTGATTCTTCTAAATGCTCAAATTATTTTTTATGGCAAACCTATCAATGAGTTAGCACCATTGTTGCTTGTTGTTAATGCATAACAGTGTAATAGGGGAGATTAATTACATCACTCACAGAGTATTGCTCTGCAATGTTAGTCACATGCCCCAAAAAAAACACATTGTGTATCGAGCATGGTTAATATCCATAACTGCACATAATGCGAGGGTGAGGCAGGTGTGGGAAATGTGATTAGAGAGACCAGCAAGGTGCCAGATAATTGGTAACATCCAACATTGAAGGAGTAGACTTAGAAGGAGGCCTTCATGAGGAAGAGTAAAAAGTTAAGACTAGACACATAGAGGGTGAAGTGGGTGAGGATAGGGTCTCAGAAGAGAATTCAAGTGCTGTAGTGACAGAGGCGTCAAGACAAAAGAAGCTGTGACCTTGAAGAGAGTAGTTGCAGAAAAATGGCTAAGTTGGAATAGAGATTACAGTGAGTCCCAATAGTAAGGAATGGTGGTAAGGAAGTAGAGAACACGAAAACAATCAGTCTTGAAAGGAAGCTGGCTGGAATGAGTCAGAAAGAATAGCAAGAGTGAGGTACAGGGGAAAGGAACACTAGATTTACAACAGATGTCGAAGTAATGGAATTTCAAGGTAGGCTGTATGTAACCGAAAAATTTGAGTAATTAGGTCCATTTTCATTTTCAGATTTTCACTGTTAGATTCAATTAACACTACTCTATATCTATCACAATATAGCTAAGCCTTTGAGGGTGCCCTATAGATTCCTCAAAGGTTTGTTGTGAGAATTAAATGGGATATAATGTATGGAAATGGCCTATCATGTTCCAATGATGGCGACAACAATGATGATAACTAACATTTTTTAAAATATTTTTATTGATTTCAGAGAGGAAGGGAGAGTGATAGAGAGATAGAAACATCATTGATCGGCTGCCTCCTGCCAGCCCCCTACTCGGGGGGATCGAGCCCACAACCCAGGCATGTGTCCCTGGCTGGAATCGAACCTGGGACCCTTTAGTCCACAGGCCAACACTCTATCCACTGAGCCAAACCAACTAGGGCGATAACTAACATTTTTTTAGTGTGCATAATTATCTGGACACTTTGTGTACTTTACATATCTTATTTCATCTAATTCTCATAACAACCTCATTATGAAAGATGAGGAACCTAAAACTCAGAAAGCTTAAGTGATTTACTTAAGATCCCAAAGTTAATGAGTGATAGAGCCAAGATGTTTATTCTTTCCATTATAATACACATTAGCTTATCAGGAACTTTAAATTATACTTTCTTAAGGATAGCATTGTGCTGGTGGTATGAGTATTTTCTATATTAAGTAGCTCAATATCCTGTTTCTAAAACATGTTTTTATGAGAAATATCAGGCCATTGATACATATAGCTTTAATGTTCCAATTCTTTTGTGTTTTAAATAGTGGCTAATTTTATAGTACATATATGATTTAGAATAATGGAGCCAATAAATGAAATCTTTATGGATATAAGTCAATGCACAGCAGAAATGTTAATTTATTTTGTGAAACATTTTTATAGTTTCTATGTATTCCTATAAATTCTGGAGTTCTTAAATAGATGGTATTTAATAACATTATGCTAATATTTTCTTTTTTATTTTAAAGGAAAACATCGTAAAACAGGAAGAGATGTAGCTATTAAAATCATTGACAAATTAAGATTTCCAACAAAACAAGAAAGCCAGCTTCGTAATGAGGTTGCAATTCTACAGGTACTTATTTGTTTTTCATTTGGAAGCTATAAAATACCCCTCAACTTCTGCAAAACAGAAAAGTTCTCCAAATATGTATGGTATAGGTATTTAGAAACACTTTAAAATTATTGAAAAGGCAGATTAAACACCAAATTACTGGCTAGGTAGTAACTTTCCTAAGTCTAGGAAGCAGTTGTTCCTTTTTATATACTTAATTCTAGGTTTTAATATGTTATTAATATCACTAAATGGGTAATGTTTCAGCATTTGCTCACAGTGGACATACTAAGACCATTTTGTTTTACATTATAAGTAACCTTGCCTTCGTAAACATTTCTCCTTTATGCTGCCATTATTATATGAATCGAGTATGTAACTCTCAGAATATCAGGTAAATGAGTAAAACATGTCTGAGAATCACATCAACTTGATGTTATTAATGTCTTGCCTCTTACTGTAAACATTTCATTTAATATTCAGCATGTTAGTTAACTCTTCTCATGGATAGCAGTCCCTTTTTAAAGCCAGAATTTGTTAATAAAAGGTATTATGTGCTATATATAACTTTTTAATAATTAAGCCATTTTCTATAGACCAGAGGAAATTGAGCAATTGTTGCTAAATGTAGTTAAACTAGCTATCCAGTCTAGAAAATTTAGATCATTGATAAATTCCCATTATTATATAACTGCCATAATCTCTACTTGTCATACATGCTGATCATAATTTCTAATTCTTCATTTTATTAAATAATTTTCATTAGAACATTGTTAACAAAATGAAACATTGAATTCTTTATTGTTTGTTTTGTTTAACTGCCATTTATTGAGTTTCATACAATTAAACGTTGAAAAAGATAATGATTTTTGCCCTAAAGGAATTAATGTATTCAGAATAACAGACTTTTGTGGGATTCAGAATTTGTAAAGATGGTGTTTTTGTACTTTTGGACAACAAATGTAACACAGAGGACTGCTACATTGTTTTCATGGGGAAGAAGATGCCAATCACAGATTTGTAGTTCAGTGCTTGCTAATCAATTATCAAGAGAATATTTTTTTATTCTTAACTAGGCAACATTGAACTGTAGATGACATCTAAAAACTTAGTACATGACATCTTCCCAAACCTGGCCCTTGCTTCCCCACTCGCACAGGTGTCCCCAAGGCAGATTCCTTTGCAGCATGCCGACCCCCAGAGCTGGTTTATGTGCAGAGATATCTATCCTTCCTTACAGGACATGAGAGGACTTTCATGGTCCACATAGTTATGTCCTATTAGAGGCCTGGTGCATGAAATTCGTGCACTGTAGGAAGGGGTGTCCCTCAGCCCAGCCTGCACCCTCCCCAATTTGGGACCCCTTGGGGGACATCCCTCTCACAAAGCAGGACTGCTGGCTCCCAACCGCTCACCTGCCTGCCTGCCTGCCTGATTGTCCCTAACCACTTCTGCCTGCCAGCCTGATCACCCCCTAACCACTCCCCTGCCAGGCTGATCGATGCCTAACTGCTCCCCTGCCAGCCCAGTCACCCCTAACTGCCCTCCCTTGCTGGCCTGGTCACCCCCAACTGCCCTCCCCTGCCGGCCATCTTGTGGCCACCTGGGGGCGGCCAGCTTATGCGAGGGCATGACAGTCAATTTGCATATTACCTCTTTATTATATAGGATATTTCGTTGCATTTGCAGAAGACTGCCTGGATGTTGAAGGTCTGATTTTCTATGCCTAGGCCTTTAATTGGCTTTCCTGTCACCCCAGGCTGCTGCCTCGGTAGTGAGGTAGAAAAATAAAATATACCTGAGCATACACTGCCTCCCATCTCCTCTTTGAAACAAATAGGTGCAATCACAACTCAGATGCAATAAGCAGACATTTGGCACAATTTCATTATAATAATGTGGTTTTCTAAAGAGTTAGATTAGGTTAAAAGTCAAATTGTGCCCCTTGAGCATATGAAGAGGTCAAACAGCTCTCATATTATTGCCTGTAATCTCAAAAATCCTTATTACTTATCACATCCCCACTGTCCCCGACCATTCCTTGCTTCATTCATCCAACTCCTATTCATTGAATACATATCATGAGCGAAGCACTGCTCTGCATCCAGTGGATATCATGGGGACAAACACACAGGTCCTAGGTATCATGGGTCTTTAACTTATATCATGCAGCTATAACTTTAGTTAAGCTGCTACTTATTTATATGTTGAATTTTCAATCATGTAAGTGTCTTATTAAGACTTGGCTTAATTGCATGCAGATACCAGGTTCAGGAGTTTATACTTTATCATAAAGTTGACAATTGTTTCAAAATTTGTTCATCAAAAATAGGGAATTCCTCATGTCCCTCAACTGAAACAAATGAAAAAATAAAAAAGTATTTGAACTTTCACCATTGTCAGATATATATATCAGCCTCTTAGGAAAGATTGTAATTCCGTATCCAGAGACAGTAAAGTTCAAGCTCACCTCTCTTGAGTTGGCTCACATATCACCAGTTGTGTAAGCATCACTCTCACATTTTATTTAAAACTACAGTCCACTCAGACATCCTCCCAACCCCTACCACTGTACCGTATTGCTCTAATATGTGTTTTCTATAACACTAACTAGAGTGTATCCATCCGGAGTGCAGATCTCATTGTTTTACTTACTAACTATAGGCCCGGTGCACAAGACTTGTGCACTGGAGGGGGGGGGTCCCCTCAGCCCAGCCTGTGCCCTTGGGGGATGTCTACCTCCCAGCTTAGGCCCAATGCCCTCAGGAATCGGGCCTAAGCTGGCAGTAAGATATCCCTCTCACAGCCTAGGGCTTTCGCAGTCCGGGACCCCTCACTCCTTACTGCCCGTCTGCTGCAGCCCGTCTGCTGCAGAGGCAGGACACTGCTGCTGTGCTCGCCAGCCGTGAGCCTGACTTCTGGCTGAGCGCTGCTCCCCCTAAAGGGGCAGCTCCTGCGTTGAGCATCTGCCCCCTGGTGGTCAGTGTGCATCATGGCAACCGGTCGTCCCGCTGTTTGGTCAATTTGCATATTACGCTTTTATTATATAATTTATCCTTAACACCTGGCACACATTAGGTGTTTAGCAAATATTTGTTAAATGAATAAAATTGTATGGAAACACCATCTTGTCACATAGATGGCATCCATAGTGTCCAAGCAGATAGCAAAAGTCTAGATTGCATTGCTATTAATGGTTAAGTGGTTGGTTAGTTAAGAAGGATTGTGTGTGATTTGTTCTTTGAAAGTCCTCATTTCCCCATTTTGTATTTCTTATCAAAAGGAAGAATTCACCTTTTTGAACCTGAAAATTCAAAGTGTAATGGGGATAGGGGCTGGGGGTTGGAATTCTGTCTCTGGTTGAGTTCAGAAAAAGTACCATGATTAAAGTCATTTGAGTGGTGGGAAGGTTTTTTTCGCTGATCTTGAGGAACAGATTTCTGTCCCTCTGGATATAAAAGTGGTACCCAGAAGCATTTGGTGTCCTCTGCCTTGTGCTGTCTAGCTTATGAAAGTCAGTGTCCTAGTTTCTGGTTGTACCTGGTGTCAGAAACATTCTGTCCTGTCCTCCTCCTGATTCTCCAGAAGGGATCATGTGGGTTGAAGAGGCTGATTGTGAAAGTCCTCCTCATGCAATCTGTTGGGCTGCTGGTCAAATTTAGATTTGTTTCTATGTTTGGAAAAATGTACCTTAGCTTATACAAGACTTCAATGTTGTAGAAGTATGGAATGTGCAAAAAAGTAGAATTGTTTGTGTTGTGTGTGTATTTTTTTCCATTTTATCTTCTGCATATAACCTAGGTGAAAGCTTTCTAAGGCTTATATCATTTAGAAAATTTGTTTTCCTTATCTGTATTTATTTCATTATTATTATATGTTTCAGAAGGATATTAATTAATGTAGATATTACTTCATAAAATCCCCAAAGGATCCTATCTATAGTATTTGAAATTTTTGTAACTTGCTAAAAAATACATGGTAAATATGAAATTATTATTTTTTCTACTCATGGCAACAAAATAAGAAAAATATTGTTGTTTGTGATTATTAAGAATATCACCAAAAACTGACCTTTATAAGGAGAGGCAAATATATCATAGAAATCTTAGAAATTTAAAATCTAACATAAGTAATATTGGAATGACATATTTAATATAATTTATCAATACTGGCTTATTTGGTCAACTTTAATTTTTATTTTCTAACATTATAATATGACAATGCATAGAAAACTTTAGGCTAGTACTTATGAATATAATTCTAATTTATTTACTATTATTTGTTCTCCTTTTCTTAATTATCAACTTTTATTTATCTACTAGAGACTTGATGCACGAATCCGTGCACCGGGCCTCTAGTAGAGGGGGTCCCTTGGCCTGGCCTGCGCCCTCTCGCAATCTGGACCCTTCGGGGGATGTTGGAGAGCTGGTTTTGGCCCAATCCCCGCAGGCCAAATCCAGACAGGAGGGAGCCCAATCCTGTGCTTTGAGCATCTGTCCCCTGGTGGTCAGTGCGCATCATAGCTACCGGTCGACTGGTCGTTCGGTGGTTCGGTCGCTTAGGCTTTTACATATATAGATATAAGGAGCAACACCAGAGCTTCTGTTTATGATTTAATGTATGGAAGCATTTGGGAATTATGAAAGTACTGAACACAGAAGACAGAACATAGAAAAAGTACATGAGAACTTCATAGACCATAAATTAAATGTATCCCTATGCACTTATCTCATAAAATTACCCCTGTCATTTTGGTTTCTTTATTGTGAGGGACTCCTCTTCTCATTCAAGTCTCTCTTAACTTAAAACCACAGCAACAACAAAAGGTGGTCTTGATTGGTCTAGGCTGCCTCCCACAGCCTCAGTTCATTCTCCCTTCTGTGCCACCACACTTCAGATTCGTGCTCAGTTCATGCTCTGCTGTCAGTTCTGGTTCATAAATGCACTTCTCATCTTTGATTTTCACATCTTCTTAAGAAAATGCAAGGCTCTTTTTGCCATACGCTGATGTTCTACCTCTA